ATTATAGTAACACTGTGGTGTTAAAGGAAATTTTCTTTAAAGTATACCAGAAAAACTTTACGTCCTATAAATATAAAAGGCACAGAGGCTCTCTTCCTGAAGACCAAGCTTTCGAATCGGAGAGAAACAATCTTTTGTCTGGCTACCGCTGCCGTTCACTCTTGTCTCATTACAGAATCCCAGGTGTGGGCCATAAAGACCAGGAGGGTGAGAGGTGGTACCACATATCATGACACATATTCCCGTTTAAGCTGCTGCTTCTCTCTTACTCGGTTTCTCAAAGACACTCACCTGGGTATAACAAGGGAACGAGTCCCAGTAACACGGTCTCTGGCTCTAGCCCTAATCCACAAAATAACTGGATCCCCAGCTCCTGACTCTGCAGTTGACGTCAGGAACGCCTGCGGTGCATCATGTGTTCACGATGCAGTGTGCTTCCTCACCTCCCTTTCCTTGGAGGCTCCTGAATGTCCGAGTTGCTGCAATGATGTCACTCTTCCTGGAGGTAATTGCTGCTGCTGTCATCATGTCCCCAGCACCACCCATGTTGGTGACATGTCTTCATTCTACTCTGACCCTTATCACATAGTTTTTTGGCTTAAATTGGGGAAAGGAGGTTGGATGACTAGGGATAAATAAACTCTGCTGATATGAGGCACAAACAAAGCAGCCTTATACTCCATCCTGTCTCTCATTTACCTGGCTCCTCATTTCAGTCCCTCACCCGCCCCACACCCTCTAGCCAGGAAAAAAGAATGTGTGCGAGACATCACTGTGGAACTCCAAGCATCGTATAACCTCACTAACCTCCAGGTACATCCCTGGACCATGCATGTGCTAGGGTTCTGATTCTCTTTGACGTCTGTTCCTTTCCCATCTAGCACACAGATTGGAAGGGAAGGCAGCACAGGGTCTTAGATATGGGGGCCAGAGAAAGCTCCAGCCCCAGTTTCATGAAGTCAATATGTTTCCTCTGAGGCTCTTAGGGTGCCTTGAATTAAGTAAAATCCAGGCCTGGATCCCAAAATCTTGTTGCCCTGCCAACCAGACATACCCAAAGGGCAAGCTGTTTAGGCACTTGTTCTGGGACCCTCACTATTCATTTATGACATAATTCCAAAGAAATGAACCATCCTAAACACTTTCAAAATATAATATAACCTCTAAGAGAGGGCAAAGACTGCAGTCAACTCTTCAGGAATTCAGTGGGGTCCCTGATCAAATAATGAAGAAAAAAATTCCAGAAAAGAAAACAAAATTTGTAGATGTATTCATAGAAACGGGTTTAGTTATACAAATGGACAAACAATTTAATGAGACTTTCAAGTGATGAAAAGTAATTTCAGAAGTAGTCAGGCTGTACACTTGGGCCCTAGAATTATGGAGTCTTGGAGATGAGAAGTAGGGATGGAGAGGCAAGCCCATAGTTAAGAAAGGCTGTGCATTTAATCTCTGTGTCCAGAGCTTCTGCACGTTTTCTCACTTTTTTCTTGCTTAGATAACTGATTTCAGTGATTTTCCTGAAAGACTGTATTTCTCCAACCATTCATTCCAAAGTTATAACTTTATGCCAAAAGATAACTTTATGCCAAAGTTATCTTCTCAAGGGACAACGTGAATCATTTCACTCCCCTTCTCAAAAACCTGCAACGGCCCCTTTTGTCCATAGAAAAAAAAAAGTCTAAACTCTTTCATATACTTTTGTCATAAACAGCCTTTACCAGGTTTACAAAAATAAAAGTAATAGGTAACAAATAACGGGAAGCCACTGACACAGTGATCGAGACTTGGAGTCACAGGTCTGCCACCCACTGGCTGTGAGATCCTGGGCAGTTATGCAGCCTCAAAGCTCCAGTGTCCTTTGTAAAACGGGGATAGTAATAGTAGCCAACTCACTGGGCTTTTGTGAAGGTTCAACGAGAGTGAGTTAATTTTATATTTCCCACTTATTCCACGTGCTGCCACTCTAACGTACGTTCTGTTTTCACATCTCCCATTCATTGTCATAGCTAGGCTTGTGTTTTCTCAGCTCCACATTCTTTCCCGTGCGAAAACCTTCCACCCATTTTCCATGGGCAGAAATTTTTCTCGGAATTTCAGACCTGTCTTGAATGCCACCTCCTCTAACAGTGCATCCCTTGGCTCTTCCCCCATCTAAACACTCCTCTTTATTGTCCTCCACACGCACCTCTATCATCCCTTCATGCTGCCTCACATAGCAATTTGTAATTCACATATTTCAGTCTCTTTTCTCCTGGATTATGTATTATCTGAGGTTCATCAGACACCAACTTTTATTTAACTTTTCTTCCATTCCTAGCACCTATCACAATGGTTTGTATGTGATAGGCACTCCATTTGGTTGTAATTATTAATTAAAATTGACTTGCCTTAAAATTTCAGTCCTTCTGTTAATTTAGTCTCTTCTCCCTTTGATAAATTTCATAACACAGTATGTAAGAAAATATTCACTATCCAAATTCTAAATATTATTTTTCATTTTAAAATTATTTTTCCCTAAACATCTGTGGCATAGTATAAAAATCCCATTCATAATTTGGTTTCCATTACATTATATGACAGAAAAATTATTCTCTAATATTTAGAGATTCTTAGCTGGGATTTTTAATTCAAGTTTATTTTTTAATTATAAAAGTAATATAAAAATATTATAAAACCTTGGAAAAGAGAGAGAAAAAGCAATTCATATTCCCACCTGTCAAACATGACCCTATTTTATAAGGCCCTCCTATGCAAAGTGTGGTCTTAGAAACAGCAGCATCAGGATCAGCTAGAAGTTTGTTAGAAATGCAGAATCCCATCTCCATCTCAGACCAACTCAATCAGAATATGACTGATTTGCACACTAAAGTTTGAAAAGCTCTGCTCTAAGCTAGACCCCAGCAGAGCATGTTTTACTAAGCATCTCTGTCCTTCTAACAAATATTTATTGAGCATCTGCTACATACCAAGTACTGTATCAGATACTGTGTTTTCATCTGCAAGATTTCCTCCAGGACTGGCTCAGGAATATATGGAAATAGTGTTGCCTTCTTTTGAACTATTTTCTTGGGTAAATCAAGTAGTTTTGATTGAAAAAGCTACCAGAGATGCAAAAGATCTCATTCTGAAGTGGTTCCACTTCTCTTGTTTTCAAGTTCTCACACAGTGATGTCTCTAAGTCTAAAGTGTAATGCTTTTTTGGGGGGGAGTGGGGAGGAAGATCCACCCTGAGCTAACATCTGCCAATCCTCGTCTTTTTTTTTTTGCTGAGGAAGACTGGCCCTGGGCTAACATCCATGCCCATCTTCCTCCACTTTATATAGGACGCTGCCACAGCATGGCTTGCCAAGCGGTGAATCTGTGCGCACCCGGGATCCGAACCCGCGAACGCTGGGCCACCGCAGCCGAGCGGGCGCACTTAACCGGCTGCGCCAGAGGCCGGCCCCTAATGCTTTGTTAATATGCGCACTCCTTCCATTAAGAGCTGAAAAATAAGGGTAAAAAAGGCATTGAAATTAACATTCCACAGTAGAGCTTAACGAACACATTGTGTTTGCCTTAGGCAGCTTCCATAAAGTTTTGTCTTGGAATTTTTTTAAAAAATCTTTTTTTAAGTTCAAGAGAAGCCCAGAAAGGTAACATTTCAAAAGTAAATCTTGGGATCCTCCTTCACAGCATGATATTTCTGCGAGTGGGAGGTGGGGGGCATTTCACTGACTCAAACAGCCCGGTGACGTATTCTCAATATCCTGTGGTGTACTTGAAAAGAGAGCGCTATACTGAAGCGCCCTTTCAGCATCAGAAGATATATGACAAATAGTGTACACTTTCTTTTTATTAACCAAAGGATACCCCTACAGGAAAATAAAAACTTTTAGTAACATTATACAGCTCAAAAGGCTGAAAAGCAGACTTAAATGAACGTTAAGAATAGCCAGGACGAGGACATTTTAATAAAATGTCAACAGGGGGCAACATGCAGCAGAAGGCATGTGTGTAGAAAGTTGGCCCAGGCGCAGGCATTGCTGCTGTGGAGTTACTCTGGAGAGGAGGTGGGGCCGTTTGGTGATTAAATGTCAGCTGCCCTGCAGATCTGTATAGCAGCCTTCAGTCTGCTCTCCGCACAGCCTGCTGTTTCCTTTTCCCTAAGCCCCTCCTGAGTCCCTGAGGAGCGGCTAGGACTGAAGGCCTCCAGGGCCCCATCATCGAGGCCAGGGTCCTTTGCCTGTTTGCCAAGATGTTCCTGTGGTTATTGATGTGCAAAGTCCTCCTACCATTAGAGACCCTATAGTTTACCACCATGGAAAAGTACCATTTGAAGAGTAGGGGACTGCCGAAAGCCGGGAAATGGGCTTGAGAGTCTCATTTGAAATGGATTCCCAAATAGTGCCACCACGTGGACTGCTCCCTGAGTGCCCCCTCAGGCATCCATTTCACCTGTGGAAGGGGGATCATACCAGCAGCCCTCCCCGCGTTGTGGAGGTACTGTGAAGAGCAAATGGGACAAAGAATTCGGAAGAAGATTTCAAACTGGCACAAAGAATTCGGAAGAAGAGTCCAAACAACAGGGCAATACAAATGTCAAGTATCATTATTTCCTCCTCTGTAAAATGGGAATAAGTGGTGTGTATGTGATTCTTAATTATGAAATGATTGAAACAGACCATCCTTGATATCGTCATCCGAAGATGAGATACAGCACCTTTCTCAGCCACTTTACCTCTCGTATTTCTGCTGCCTCTGTGGTTTATTGAGAATGCAATACTTTCTGTGTAGTTGTCATTGTGTGTGTGTGTGTGTGTGTGTGTGTGTGTGTGTGTGTGTGTGTTGAGGAGGGAAAGAAACATCTGTGGTCGGTTCTAATATCTGAGGGCTGCCTGCGCGACAGGCTGCAGGAAAGAAGACCTGTCTGAGGTCGACTGGTCCGAGCCTGCAAGCCTCCCTGCCGGCAGCCCCTGCGGCGGGCTCTGTCTACACACAGACAGGCTGGAGGACCGGAGGGAGGAGGCGGTGGCCGCCGAGCGCTGGGAGCCCCTCCGCGCGGGCGGCCCGGGAGGGCGCGGGCCAATCAGAGCGCGCTCCGCCGGCAGCCAATCACCGGCCGCCTCGCCCGGCAAATCTGCCCGGCAGTGCGGGGCGGGGCCTCCGGGGAGCGGGCGCCGCCGGTTACACTTCTGAGCGCCTCCGGGAGCCGCGGGGCAGGGGAGTCCGTGCCGGGAAGCCGGGAGGGCTAGCAGGCAGGCCAGCTTAGGTGCCGGCCCAGTGACATCCACAGAAGATAAACCAGGCCGGCGATGGTGCGTCCGGGCGCTCACGTGTGTCGAGACCCACCGGCTTGTCTATTTGCGGTGTGAGCACCTGTCGTGTGGCGGCTCCGGGCGTGGCTGCTCGTCGGGCGGGCAGTTCCTGTAAGATTTATCCCTGGGGGCCTACCTTCCCCGGCTCCAGAGGGGAACCTAAGAAGTTTAACCGAGCCGGGTGTGAGCAGATTAAGGGAGTGAAACAGCGGCTGGGCCGGGGAGGGTGGGGACTGCGGGTGCTGAGGGGGGTAGGAACCACCTATTTGTCCCGTCTCCCAGGCAGAAAAGGCCTTTTGGCAAGACTGGCGTGACAAAGGTGGCCCTGAAATGCCTAGAGAGCCTGGGCAATGATGATCACTGAGTGAGTGGCACTGGGCTGACCCTAGGCAGTTTGTTGAGTAACAGACAGGGATGCTAGCGGTGCGGAAGGCGAGGAGCAAACTCAGGATGGGGACCATCTGCTCCCCCAACCCCAGCGGGACAAAGACATCATCGGAGGTCTGCAATGCCGACTGGATGGGCTCGCTCCCCCCTCACCTCCACAACGTCCCGCTTTCCAATCTGGCAATCCCAGGTATTCTATTCCTGCTTCTCTCCCAGTGTGTGATTCTGCCATTTTAGTGTTTTTAATGGGTTGTGTTGCTTTTTTATTGTACTGAGAAAATAATTGTCAGTGACCTTAACTAAACCTGTTTTCATTTCCAAACCAAAAACTTAACACTGAAGCAGCTGCTGTATGGAGATTTAAGCACACTGCATCATTGGCAAAGGGATTTAGGAGAATGGAAGCACCGTTTTTGTTTGTTTGTTTGTGTCTTTGTTTTGTTTTTACTTGATAGCCTCATTCTAAGAATATTACCTTCTTACTGTTGGGGCCAGGGTATGTGAGGGGTGCATTTACTTGAATCACTTAAAGGAAAAAGGAGAGACCAAGGGTAATGAATAGAGAGTCATTAATTTTAGACCTGGATCAAAATTCAAACTGAAAAGTATTTCCTTTCTCATTTGTCTGACCTTGCATATTGGAGAAAAAAACAAAAAACAGATTAGAATTCGAGAATAAGTTCAGACCCAGACCGACTATAAAGACATATTTCTGTTGTTGGAAAAGCCAGAAATAGAGAATGCAAGCGCTGGTCACAGGCAGTCATTAGGTGTGATGGGGTGGTGGTGTTGGAAGCTTTGTCTATGTATACACAGGTGTCTGCTGGCTGATCTAGAACCAAAGCCTTGAAAAGCACTTCTGCTCCAGCCACTGCCTCTCTCCTGGGGGTTTAATACCTTGACATCACTCTCATTAGATTTGTTAAATGTATCCTCTTCCTTCCACTCAAAAGCTGGTTAAAGCACAATTTCTCGGCAAGGACTTCAGACTACAGTGATCTTGGCCTAGTGTGCTGGGCAAAGTCCTAGATGCTGGTGCTTGGAAAGCGCTCCTAGGAGCTGGGGATGGACTATTGCCAATCCTTCCTCTCACCTGGAGACACAGCAGTTGACTTCACTCCTAGACAAACTCCCAGGCATCCCAGGAGCAGTCTGCCTTTTTGGTGGCTGACAAGATGACCTCATGCGACCCCAGGTCTTTGCTTTCTATGCATGAGGAAGAGCAGTGCTGGCTTCTGATGCAGCCTTTTCCTTCCTCACTTCTTCTTTTGGAAGCCCTCCAGGTTCATTGTCCTCGTGGGCTCTTGTTGCTTTTGAGCAAGGAGAGGGTTGCAAAATCTCTTTATAGTTGTGATCGCTTGTGTTTTATCAGCCTTTGACTACAGCTCCTTGGGAAATGCCAGATGGTCACATTCAGAACAGGTCTTTCCCGTGTTTAATGGATGCCTCTGGAGTCATCACTGAAATGATGCACAGGCCTCTTTAACATTAGTCATTTGTCTTCAGGCTTTCCAGTGGAATTGTTTTGTCAGGTGATAGGGCAGGGAGTGTGTGTTTGCAAACAGAATGGCATCTTAGGCAGGCCCTGAATAGCTCTGTCATTCAGGGCATGTCCAGGTAGGTTGGGGCTTCCTCCTTCCTGTTGTACTTTGGACAGCTCACAGCACAGCTGCAGCTCTGCCCGTGGCTTGGCTGTGCACTCTGACTCCATGACTCCACAAAGGAGCTGGGCATTCATTCTGCAGTCTATGGGGTATCTCATAGTTATGAATTGCCAGGGTTTGCAAAGAGCAGGAGCCTCCTCCTGTAACTGGAAATTCTGTGATTATCCATCATGGAGAAGGCAGAAATTGTTCATCCTGTTTTGTGAAGTCCAGTCCTTCTAAGCGAAAAAAAAAAAAAGGCCTTGACTGCTCAAAATACCTTGAATTTACTATGGCAAATGCCCTTTTCTCGGCAGCGGAGGGGACATGAGTGTGCCCATATATAAGCTCAAGACAGGAAAACCACATATTTAGTGCTGGCCATTCATGGACCCCCACTCTCCCACCCCTGCCCCTCCTCTAGTTCTCTTTCCCCTACCTCAGGCTTCATATCCCCAGCCAAAGGCTAGCCGTCGAGTTCTGCCATGCCTTGCAGAGAAATTCTGAAATGCAAAAGTCATTCAGGAAGTGGAGGCCACCATCTTCCTCCTCCTTCCTCTCATCCTCTTCCCCCTCATCATCACCCTCATCATAATAGCTATTATTTACTGAGCACAACCGTGCAGCACCACTGGCATACGTTATCCCAAGTCCTTACACCTCTGAGATAGGTATGAGCATCCTTATTTTGGAAATAAGGAAATTATTGTCCAGAGAGGTTAAGTAGTTTTCTCAAGATCACACAAATAGTAAATAGCAGAACTAATATTTAAGCCCTTATGTAGCTGGTTCCAAAACCCATACACTGTCCCTATGTCCCTAAGGGGACCTTGAAAGGTGCAGAGCAGCAGTGAGGGCGGGGGGTAGTCTCTAACTGAAAACCAGTCTTCACAGACCATCCTCTGCAGCGAATGAAAGAACTTTTAAAACTGGGTGGTCTTTATCTGAGTGATTACATATCACTGTGAAGAGATAGATAGATAGATACATACATACATACATAGACCTATATGTGTACATATTATATATCTGAGTAAATATATATAAATTTCCCTTTCTACAATTGTGTGTGTGTGTATATATGTATATCCCTATTTAGAATTGGAACCTAGTAAGTTTAAATTCAAATTTAGTGCTTAGACCTATTTTGTGTGTGTGTGTGTGTGTGCACATAAATATGTGTTCGCATTGTGGACCTAGGACATCTGTAAGATTGGGTCAGATCTGTCAGGATGAGGGTGGGGCAGCATGACATGGGAAAGGGCAGGGAAAAGGCAGAAGTTCTGGCACTAGTAGCAGACCTGGGAAGGAGTAAACTACGTCAGATGTGAGTGCATCTGCCGCATTTGCCTAAGTCGTGATGGGAGAGAACAAGTGTGAATATACACCTCTCAACAAAGCCTTGGTGTATTATTTGGCTTCCACAACTGTTAAGACCACCTGTTAATGACCACTGTCACCCAAACACATTGAAATATCTTGGAGAAGAACCTCAGAACAATTCTGATTGCCAGCTGTGTAGAATGATTGGAGACGTTAAAGATAAAGAATCTGGAAATTGCGAAAGTCAGATTTTTAAATTAAAGCTTTAAATCTACATTTTTGCTGATGTTAGTGAAAGCACAATGTTCTTTATGGACAAATGGACTGATAGGAAAAATTTTTTCTATAATGTATACAGCTTTTCAATGAATTCTTTTTCTCTATATATTTTAGTGCTATTTCTTTTTTTTAACCATGCTTTTTCCCTTCTTTTTATTAGAAAGGTCTATTGGAAAGACCGTTGAACTTAAGGGTCTTGAAATTTGATATTGTTGATTCTGGTTGTGTGATGCTGAAGAAGGATCTGAATTTCTCAGGAATTAGTTTCCTCATTTGTAATTAAGATGTTAGATTAAATAAAATATAGAGTCCTCTCCAAATTAAAAATTCTTTGATTAATTTGAGGGATTTTTGTTCGTTTCTTTGGTTTTTACCTGTTCTTTCTGTAAATGTAGAAAGAGACGGGAAGAATGATTGCATCATTTAAGTCTAAAGGCCATTTCTCTTATGCCTCTTCAAAATAAGAAATTATTTTTGGCTTGTGAAAACAAGGACTCTCAATTGCCAGAATGAAGCAGGGTCTTCTCATTTTCGCCTCCAAAAAGGGACTGTACGTTAGTTTTTCTAAATGAACAGATCTGAGTACATTTTAGGAAACCTCCATGCTCAGGCCTGGGAGACCCAAAGATGAATCAGGCATCAACCTTGCTGTATATATATATACCTTCACCATACATAATTTTTGGAAAAACTAATTGGGTAAATGTTAAAACAGAGATATAAATAAAGTGTTGTAGAAGCACACAGAATGGAAAGATTAATTCCAACTTTTAAGATTAGGAACTACTATGTTGAAAAAATGGCATTTGACCTGAAATTTAAAGAATGGTCAAAATTTTAAGAGATGTGGCTTGGGAGCCAGGGCTGGGAAGGGGGCTTTCCAGGTGAAATATACCAAATGAGCTAAGGGGTGGGGGTGTTTTGGGAAATGGCTGGAGGACTCCCTCTCCTGCCCCTCAGTAATGTGCTGTTAATATCTTTATCATGGCACTTCTCAGCAGATTATTTTCAGGTGTCTGTCTTCCACATCATCTATGAACAACTTGCACACAGAGAATATGACTTATTTCTCTTTATAACCTAAGTCCCAGTACAGGGTAGCGACTGGATCATTGGTGACTGTTGAGTGAATAATTTAATGTATGGAACCGGAGAATAAGAATGCTGGAAAGGTGGCTTGCAGACACCATCATTTTCAATGGTGATCACAGCTAAACTAAATAGTTTGGTTAGGTTCACCCTGTGTAAATAGCCATATGAAGCAATCTGAACATTTCCAAACCATTTCTTGTTACTTTTGCGTAATATTCCTGTAGCTCCAGATAAGGTTTGTCACTGAGCTGCATTAAAAATGAAGATTCTGAGGCAGAGTAAAATGGTGAGAAGAGTCAAAGCAGAACTCTCCTGGAACTTCTGTCCTAGGAATAATTCTTTCACCTGCATCCTTTCTGCCTTCCTTCTTCCCCTGTCAAATTTGAGCTTCTCATGTTTCCTGTCTGGCTGCAGCCTCAGCTGCTTTCGTTTCTTGTTCCCCTCTTCACCTTCCTTCCTTCCTTGACCTGGCCTGTCTCCCGGCCTCTCCCTTTCCGGGGTCAACCCTTGCTCAGACGCTCCTCACTGCTCTCCCATTCCCGGACGGTTCTCTGTTCTCATCTTGCTGATGATCATTCCCTTCTCTTCTTTTTTACCTTTCTGGAATCCTATCCTTTCCCATGCAGTTCTGCCTTGACCACGTGGTGACTTCTATAGGTCTTCTCCTGTGGTCCCACACTCACTTCCCACACGTGTGACATGGAGACGAAATCACCCCGGGGGCGGGATAAAGAGATCTTATTCAAATCGTGCTGTGGAAGTTGGATCAGGTCTGGTGCATCTAAAAGAGATTTGGGGGAAGCACCCCAAAAGGGTGCAAAATACATGTGGATCAAGAAGTTTAGGTTGGCTC